TTATCAAAAAAAGATTTTTTTAGCTCTAAACTTTAACACGTGTGTTAAAATCGCGCACAGCGTTAAATTTTATGGACTTGATCCAGTTCACTTCTAAAAGGAATCAACAGAATATTCAGAAACCAAACAGAAACAAGCTATAGCTACTTAATGCGTGAAGCATGACTTGAATCATTTCTCTACTGAAAAAAAAACAATGTTTTACAAACGTATAAAGACGATTATCTTAAAATTGTAGAAAATTGGACTTGACCCATTTTAATTCTGACCACTCCAACTATATCTAGTAAATATTTTAATTTTTTGTCAATAATGACATATATTGACTAATTCCGTTCCAAATATCTCGAAAACGGTTGCTCATAGCGATTTTTACCAAGAAACATTTTTTTAGTTCAGAAATTATTTGAAAAAAAAACGAAATAAAAATGAAACTTTTACTCCCTGTATCTCCCAAACAAAGCATTTAGAACATACATTTATAAGAACATTTTTAATTATTTTTATCTGCAGAATATATGCTGCCGAAGTTTTCCGAATACAGTTCGGACCACCCTGTAGAATAGAAATTCAACGGATAATGGTGAGAAAATGGTTAAATCTATAAAAGTATTGAAATACATATAGATATATTTTTTTTAAATTTCTTGGGTATGAGGTTTTATAATAAATTGAAAGATGGAAAACTTTTTTTTATGCGACGTTTCTCTCCAACATAGTGGGCTTTTTCAGGCACTTATTCTAAAAACTTGAAGTCGTCTTTTTTCATTTTATACATCATACTTCAAATCATTTTAAAGAAATAAGAAACAATTAAACAAAAATATAGAGACCTCATGATATCAACTCAACAATCGTTAAATCGATGAGTCTCAATCACTCCAGAACATTCGGTCACTCATTCATCTGTGCCAAAAAAACTCTCACTTCACTTCACTGTTAGGCAGTACGAAGTAAGCCGGGTCCGAGGCCGGGTCAGCTCATTTGTAACTGATAAAATACACATTTCTAAAAATGTATAATTTCAAAAACGAATATATGATGTAAAATTTGTTACAGATTTTTCTACATATTCCCATCCCTGTCATCCCCTGTGCACAATTTAATGATAAAACCGCGGTTGTGGTGTATCTATAGGGTTGACAGTAAAAAAGGTTTCTCGGGAAGGAGTAGATTAAAAAGGAATACCACGTGTGTACGACATTAAATTGAATGTATTGTGTGCATCTTTTTTAGCTACCTTTTCTTCGAGGTTTGTTATTGTTGAAGTTTATCGAACGTGGTAGGGTCAAAACGCATTATTTACACTATTTTTCGAAGACTGAAAGGGCTTCTAATCCGATAAATGCGATCGCAAAGGGATTTTTGAAGGAGTTGTGTTTTTTGACATGAGAAAGAAATAGATTTTGTTGCTGCAAGATAAATAAGAATAGATGTTTCCTATTATTCTCTAACAAATGTTTTAATAAAAACTATGTTTTTTTTTATAAAAAATGAATATTTAGCAACATCACTACCTTCAAAATTGTATTACCAATAATTATGAAGGTGTTGCTATGGATGGTTTTTGGTTTATTGAAAATACATTACCTACTCTAATATAAATATATTTTTTCCATAGCAACTGTTAAACTTGCCTTATATCTATCAAAAATAGTAGATAAAATAGTACTTTAACCTCAAGGGTAGATTAAATGATACTTTAACAGCGAGGATAGGTTAAAAACTTTATTTCTTCTCTCGCGTTTTTTAATTGCTTCCATTTTTGAAAATTTTTGTATTCCTTTTCATAAGTTATTCGGGATTTAAATGGAGTAGTTTGGATATGGCGTTTGTCGCCTCAGCCTGAATATCTGTTGGTAATTTACTTATTTCGTTTTGAGCCATTTCTGGCTCCAATTCAATCAGCAATCGACACCAAAGAGAATTAAAAAATATTGACTCAAAACTGATAACTAAAGAGACAGCTTTATTTATTTGTCAAATTACATAGAAACTAATGCCAACCCAGCACAATATTTTTTCTACCCGTAATAAATTCCTTGAAATAATAACTTCTGAATATTTTTTAAACCGTAACTCGCTATGGAAAAAATATATTGTTTTATACACGACGATAAAATTGCAATTAATCTTTTCGGTCGACGATAAAATATCATTTTATCGTCTTGTATAAAAAATAACTATAATAATGTACCCATTGAATTAAAATTATTCATATAGTAGTAGTCCAATATAAATTAAATTGGAAATAAGTTTTCCAGGATTTTATTATTTTAGAATATCATAATTTCAGATATCTTAAAAATTTAAATATAATAAACAAGAATACCTAATAATTAAATCAAAAGAATAAATACATAATCTGCATTCCGTAATACAGATTTTAAAAATAACATTTAAAAGCAAGATAATGAATAGTTAATACGAGTATTATTGTAACGGATTTAAATTTTATAGCCACAGGATACCTTTCATAAATTTTATATGTCTATGACTTTTACTGCTAACGTTAATGTTTAACTGTTTTAACATTATGCTTTTCTTTAATGTTAGATAAATTAGCTAATTCAGTTGTTTAGAAAAAAATCGTAAAAAATAAATAAACATTTGCAATTAGTCTAGGATTTTGATTTTCAATGTTTTTTAAGCGTCTTATACACAAAAAAAACAACTTAGAATTTTATTAAATTTAATTTTTAGTTAAAGAGTAACACGAGTTTTTAGTTAAAGAGTAACGTTAGTTACACGAATTTTATAAATTTAAAAATAAAATATGTAAAATTATAACAAAATCAAAAAATAAATAAATTATTCTATTAAGAATTATTTATTTATTTTTTATTAGGTTTTCAAAATAAAATTAGTTAAAAGTAATATAAAATAAAACCTAGCTAATAAGAGTACCTATATTCTAACGGATTTAGCTACAGATTCTTTCGATATATTTTATGTCTGTAATTGTTAATGTTAATATTTAACTGTTTTAATATTATGTTTTTCTTTAATGTTATAAGAATTACTTAGTTAAAGAGAGAGTATTACTTAGTAAATTTGTTATTTAGAGAAAAGTCAAAAAGAAAAAAAAAAGAAAATATACCGGGTGTTGCATCGTTCGTTGGGAACATAGGAAATCCCATGCAAAATTTGAACTGTCCAGATATTGGCTCCCCTATGACTTTTTAAATGAGAAAACATGATAAAATACGCGGGAAATAGATTAGACAGTGTATTTGACATGTTTCGGTTAATTTTCCCTAAATATTAAAATTTTATTAAAGTTACTTTTGACAATGACAAAATCATAGTTTGTAAACCTAAGGTATGTCAGTTTTTGACTGGTGTTTGATTGTTACCTGTTCGGTTTTAATATAAGAATCGATTAAGTTTTTCTCAAATTACCTAAAATCGACTTGTCCAAAATTGTTCAAATTTGGCATGTGTGTTTACCAAATGTAGACCTTTAAAAAGTCTATTTACGACTTCGCTATAAAATCCATAGGGAAGCCAATATCTGGACAGTTCAAATTTTGCATGGGATTTCCTATGTTCCCAAGGACGATGCAACACCCGGTATACGTATTTGCATTTAAGGTCTTGATAGACGGTGCTTTTAAAACTTTTTAATAAACCTTTACTTCCCGTTTAGAATTATTATTTTAACCACATTAAAAGAATAATTAAATAAAATAAATTCAATATATTTTACCACTTTGTAGTTATTTGACTTTTAAGCAGTGAAAATTTTCGTAATTTATATAATAATTAAAACCACCATTATAAACTATTTCAAACTTTTGGTTGATTATTTTATTTTAGTAATCATATTGAAAATCGGATAAAATAAATAAATTGATCTTATTATAATAGGTGCTCAAAATAAAATTGTTTCTAAATATGTTATTTATTACATATTATTGAATATAATTTAGGATTATCCAAATTAACTAAAAATAAATTAAATTAAATGATATTCAGTTATCACAATTTCAGCAGAATTATAATAAAATTAAGGGAATATCAATTATAAATATTTTTAATTGTTTTATATTGATAAGTAGATACGGGAAAATATATGGATAAAATTCTATGAAATTTTGCGAATGATCAGTGAAAAAAAACATATTCTCTATTTTCAAGCTTTTCATAATGCTTCAATTATTTTGAAAGATTGGAGAATAGAAAATGGAATCCCGCAAAAAAAATTAATTTAGATTTTCAGAAAATGTGTATAGGTAGATATATTTTAGATTAGGTACCTATATTTTGAATATAACAAAATTTCTTTAATAAATAATTTATAAAACAAACTCTTTATAAAACCCCCAGGAAATTAAGTAGCATTAACTCTGGCTAAAATTTTTATGCAAAGTTAGTCTAACCTTTTCAACTTAAAATTAACATACTTAATCTGATTTTTCTACATTGGATTTCTAATAATAAAACTATCCACTCATACTGATTATGCTTTGTATTCCTCTAGTAACACCCATCTCTTTTAAAACACTAAATAGATTTAAGATGGATTGAATTAACTTATAATATATTAAATTAGTCCTCATTAAAACTTAAGATAAAGCCATTACCATGAATTTCTAAGTTTTTTCTTAATCTAAAGTTTTCCACATTGAATTTTTTAATAAAGTCAATATTCAATATGTTTCAGGTTTATTTAGAATTGAATAAATACAATAACTTCCAACAAATACCTTCAAGTAGGTAGCATTTTCTAAATATTAGTTCGTATTACTCAAATGTGTAAGTAATATAAATGTGCCTTCATGTTGATGATATTTCTCATTTTCAAACCACAAAACACACCAAGATTACCGAAATAATTCCAGACGCTCACTCGTTCTCTCTCTCTCTCTCTCTCTCTGTCTGTTTCGACTAATCCAATTTCATAAATATTACAAAATTGCCTTTAAACATTCAAACACGCTTTTAATCCGCCAGACGTTCATCGTCCGTCAACCGAATCTTATTAACATTTCCATCGCCCTCGTCTGTTTCTCTCCCACCTTCACACTTCTCTCTTCCTTCCCAGTCCCACACATAGTTTCGAGAGTAATCCCCGTCCGGTGGCGCCCTCTGACGACTCGCGCCCCAGCACTAACATTTCCCCAGCGCATGACCGGTATTTGGTTCAGCCGAGTCCGTTATTATACCGCAGTATGCCGTCGCGCTCCTCCAGTTTACTTTCTACCGCCAGCCAGGTCAGATCGCAGCCGGTTAGCGCGACTGAACTTACGCACGATATGTCGTTACAGTAACTTGAACGCGGACGAAGTATAGTATAGAGTGACAAAAATAAAAAAAACGGTTAAAGTATGTGCGGCGTTTATCGGAGAAGGAACTTATGACCGTGTGAATCACATGTGCGTGACATGACTTTTTGTTTTTTTCGAAAAATGTTGTCGGTGGTTTGTTTTGTGTTTCTGTTCGTTGGATACGTCCAGGGTGGAAGGTACGATGGTATAGAGCAGTGTTCCTGGCTCCCCGATAATAACGAAGGCAGTTCCAAGCTTTCCGTTACGTGTAACGTACGACTCTTGGATGAAAATGGAGCGAATATCTCAACTCTACCCGCTGAAGTTACTTCGAGGCTCAAAATAATATGCTCCGAAGCAATTTTCTTTGAAAGCGTCCTACCCGTTCAGAGTTTGCAAAGGCTTCACGAACTGGAAGATCTTCGTATAGAAAACTGTAAAATCCTTTCCATCGAAACCAACTCGTTCGAAGGATTATACAACTTAAAACGCCTGGTCCTGAACAGTTTCAACACCCACTGGGGTCAAGTCAAAAACCTCGAACTCACCACTTACAGTTTTCAAGGTTTGAAAGAACTTCAGCAACTCGACTTGGCCGATAACAACATAAGGGTGGTTCCAGACGGTGCTTTTTGTGGCATGACTAATCTCCACACACTGAACCTGACCAGAAACCGAATCAGGAGCTCGGAAAGAATCGGAATTAACGTTCCCGAATGTAGCTCCAGCGAACTGCAAAACATCGATTTGAGTTTCAACGATATAAGAGTTCTAGGGGAGGACTCGGGATTTTCAAAGTTAAGGCGATTACAGAACTTGAATTTGCAGTACAACAATATAAGCGAGGTTTCCGGAGAGAGTTTGGTCGGTTTGGTGTCGTTGAAAGTTTTGGATTTGTCCAACAATAAAATCGGATCGCTTCCGCAAGGCTTGTTCGCCGGTTCGCCCGAGCTCAAGGAGATTCACCTGCAGAACAATTCTTTGTATTCGCTGGCTAAGGGATTGTTCCATCGACTGGAACAACTTCTCGTGCTGGATCTTAGCGGTAATCAGCTTACAAGTAACCACGTCGATAACGGAACTTTTTCCGGACTTATCAGACTGATTATTCTGGATTTATCGCACAATGCTTTAACTCGAATCGACAGCAAAACTTTTAAAGACCTGTTTTTCCTTCAAATTTTAAATCTCCGTAATAATTCCATTGGATTTATCGAAGACAACGCTTTTCTTCCACTGTACAATCTCCACACTCTAAACTTAGCAGAAAACAGGTTGAACACTATCGGTCCTCAACTCTTCAACGGACTTTTCGTTCTCAGCAAACTCACCCTGAACAACAATTTGGTTGTCGCAGTCGATCCCAGAGCTTTCCAGAACTGTTCCGCTCTAAAAGAACTAGACCTAAGCTCAAACGCCCTAGCTGAAGTGCCAGAAGCTATTCAAGAACTGTCCTTTTTGAAAACTCTGGACCTTGGAGAGAACCAAATTAGCGAATTTCGGAACGGGTCTTTCAAAAACTTGAATCAGCTGACTGGACTGAGACTGATCGATAATATTATCGGAAACTTAACCAGAGGAATGCTTTGGGATTTGCCGAGTTTGCAAGTGTTGAATCTGGCCAAAAACAAAATCCAGACTATTGAAAGAGGTACGTTTGATAGAAACACGCAAATTGAAGCTATCAGACTGGATGCGAACTTCCTCACTGACATAAATGGAGTTTTTGCAACTTTGGCTACTTTATTATGGCTGAATCTCTCAGAAAATCATTTAGTGTGGTTCGACTATGCTTTTATTCCCAGCAACTTGAAGTGGCTAGACATTCATGGTAATTTTATAGAGTATTTAAATAACTACTATAAAATTCAGGATGAAATCGGTGTGAAAACCCTCGATGCTAGCCATAACAGGATTACAGAGATCTCCCCGATGTCCATACCGAACAGCATCGAACTTCTTTTCATTAACAATAATTTTATCAAGAAAATCCACCCGAATACTTTTATCGACAAGACTAATTTGACGAGAGTTGATATGTATGCTAATGACCTAGTTAACGTAGACTTGAACGCTTTAAGAATCGCCCATGTGCCTAGCAACAAGAGCCTTCCTGAAGTGTACCTTGGAGGAAACCCTTTCCATTGTGACTGTTCCATGGAGTGGCTCCAGGTGATCAACAGTATATCTGGTTCCAGACAATACCCCAAAGTGATGGACGCGGAAAATGTTATGTGTAAAATGACTCATTCGCGTGGCATGGAAAGCATGCCGTTAAGCCAGGCCAAAGCCAGTGATTTTTTGTGCAAGTACGAGACCCACTGTTTCACTCTATGTCATTGCTGTGATTTTGATGCGTGTGATTGCGAGATGACCTGTCCTAATAACTGTACTTGTTATCACGACCAAACTTGGAATACGAATGTCGTGGATTGTTCGGGACAGGGTGGTGCTGAAATTCCTCAGAAAATTCCCATGGATGCTACAGAAGTGTATTTAGACGGAAACGATATCAAAGAGCTTCAAAATCATGCGTTTATTGGTAGGAAGAACCTGAAAACTTTGTTCGTGAACAACAGTAACGTGGAAACTATTCAAAACAGTACGTTTAATAGTTTGCATGCGTTACAAGTGCTGCACCTTGAAGACAACAAGATCTACGAACTGAAAGGTTACGAGTTTGAACAGTTGGAGAACTTGAAAGAACTTTATTTGCAAAATAACGCGATCGCGAATATCGGAAACCGAACTTTCGATCCTTTAACCTCTCTGGAAGTGTTGCGATTGGATGGTAATAAATTGGTTAGTTTTCCCGTGTGGCAACTTTCGTCTAACGCGCGTTTGAACCAGATTATGATCGCGAACAACCCGTGGTCCTGTCGATGCAAGTTCCTTCAAGGTCTCACCACGTGGGTGGCCGAAAATGCGGTCAAAGTGATAGACAGTGGAAACATGATGTGTTACAATCACGACTCGAAACCTCCCCAACGTCGTGAACTGGACTTTAACTCTACCGCGTGCAGTGATTTCTACGCAGGCAGTTCCGTGATAGACTCCATGCTCGTGTCGGACTACTGGCCGATGGTTGTGATAACTCTGTGCGTTGTGATATTGCTCCTGTTAGCGGTAGTACTGTGGTTCGTTTTCCGAGACCCTGTTCGCGTGTGGCTGTACTCGCGTTACGGAGTTAGGCTGTGCAACTTTAGAGACTCCAGTGCGAAACAGTTCGAGGACAGAGACAAACTGTACGACGCGTTCGTGTGCTACAGTCCCAAAGACGAAGAGTGGGTAGTGCAAAGTTTAGCAGTAGAACTGGAACCGAAGTTCCAGCTGTGTCTGCATTATCGAGACCTCCCCCACGCAGCGTACAACCAACATGCCGCTCCCGTTATGCTGGAAGCCTCAGAAGCCAGCCGGAGAATAGTCTTGGTTCTGACCAGGAACTTTCTCGAAACTGAATGGGCTAGGTTCGATCTGAGACAGGCCCTGCACGAAGCACTTAAAGGGCGAGTTCACAAGCTGGTCATTATCGAAGAGGGTCCGTTACACGACGCCATAATGGACCCGGAACTCCGGCTGTACTTGAAAACCGCCGAGAGAGTTCGATGGGGTGAGAGAAGGTTTTGGGAGAAGTTAAAGTACGTGCTGCCCTCCGTGGAGCCCCGGGGTAAGATCAACGCCAACTACAGGCGGAACATCAACAACTACACCATCGATTCCCGGGTGGTGCCTAACGGGACTCACCACACTCACCATCACTTCCCCGAGAAGGTGTGCCCGCAAAGAGCGCCCTCTCCAGGCATGCAGATGCTCCCTCCTCCAGCTTACTCCGCTGGGAACCCCCAGGAGATGGAGGATACGAACTATTCATCCGCCACGACAGCCACCCCATCCCCCAGGCCGTCCAGGCGGATGATGGCTCAGGAACCGCGGCCCATATCCGATCACATCTACTCCAGCATCGACTCGGACTACAGCACGTTGGAGCGTGGTGGTTCGGGAAGGAGGGGGCCTCCGTGGAGGCCGACGCACGTGGTGATGCAGACGCAGGGCGCCCATAATGGCGGCCAGGCCTATCTTGTGTGATAATTTTGCTGACTGACTAGGTATATTATATATTCTATATCGAGAGACTTTTAAAAAAATTCGCTTACTTTGACGCCAGGATGTTGTGTTCTAGTTCCGATTTCATTATTCTCTCTATTTTCAAACGTAAATAATAAAATTGTAACGGAATCTGGCCTAGAAGACAACTATATCTATAGTGAAAAATACACTGGTTCTTACAAGTTACTATAAGCATGGAAATGTGTATCTACTTTTTTCCTCGTGTAATTATTTTTGTACAGTACTGTATATAGACATATTTATTTGTTTTCCTACTTCGGTTTGTATTATGTGTATATTTTTTACGAATTGCAAAAAAAAATAATTATATAAATAAATATGATGTCAAACTTTAATCGATTTGGTTTTATTTTTAACCTAATAACTGAATTTAAAAAGAAATTTATTTTGAGAGGAAGCTAAAAGTAACTAATAAAAAAAACTAATCAAATTAGATATTAATGTTTTTACATTTGTTATTTTATTAGTCTCATTAACTTTGTATGTCTATTCTCGATGATTTAATTAATGTTTTACACCTTTAAAATAAATGCTTCCTTTTATATTTTAGTGTTTCTAAGATAACCATTTTCTAACAAGTATTCAACAGATAATTTTGATATATTTGGTCTAATTTGACATAATTTTCTTAATATCAGAAATTAATCATTATTTCCTACCAGTTTTCTTTATAGAATTTAGTTTTTATTAAACTAAACAAAAAAAATAACCAGGAAGTAAATTTATATCGAGATCGATTTTTTCCAATAATATTCTTTTGTAGAATATTTCAAAACCTAATTGATAGTTTAATTAATGATTATAAAAACTAATTAATGGACTATTAAATGAAAAAGTAAAAGTTCATTTAAAATGGATATTTAAAGACAAATTAGAATTGGCTATATAAAATTAAAATAGCGTGTTTATAGGTACTATGTTTTTAATTACAAATTCCTTAAATGCAAATTAATTCTAAAGCAAAATAATAATATAATGCTAATTTACAATAAATAATTTTCTTTTATTGTTTAAATAAAAAATAGACGTATCTTATAAATAAATTTATATCTAAAATGAATTCAATAAAACTTATGTCAGATACTAAAAAAAATCCTATCATAAGAATAATTTTACAGCCTAAAAATGACCAAGAAATATTTATTTTTTAAATAAAATCATTAAAATAAATTAAATCACAGTTCTGATTTAAAGTGTAAATTTAAATTGTAAAAGAGTTACAATTTTCTAATTCCATAGGGAAGTTTATTTGTAGGTAAGTAATATATTTTTTATTTTACGTAACTTAACTAAAAGAGAAGTGTATTATAGAATATAATCAGTATATGGCTAAACTGTTCTGTTTTAAGAAAAATTAATTTCCATAAATTAATAATCACAAACGTGGTGATTTTTGATATTAAAGTATATTTAAATTTTTAGATTACAACTTTATTCTAAAATTTTTTGCAAATATTAATGCCTATATCATCTATAAACCCTGTCATCAAATTTAATAGTATGAAATTAATTTACCTTACAGGGTATTCCTTAATGACATGCTAATATCTACGTAGGTGAATCTTGCACTTATTCTTAGAAAAAAACTCCATATGGCCATAAAACATTTATGGATTTTTTTTAACTTTTGGTTAAAAACATAATTTCTTGATAATATGGCAACATACGTAGTAGATTAAATTTACAAGAAAGAAAACCGAGAAAAAATCTACCGGTTTCCAAAATTTAAGCAAAAAATGTTTTTTTTTTGGAAATTTTCAAACAAAATAATTCGGTTATTTTGGACCTATTTGAAAAACGGTATAGAGAAAATATGTTTCTTTTATCGAGATCTACCAGCCCTGAAAATATTTGCACTTATTTAATACTCACCCTGTATGTTTTAGATTTTTTTTGACAAATGTGCAAATTATTGAGCTTATCAATATTTTTTTTAAAATTAATTTTTTTTTTCAATTATTAAATTGACCACTTTCGAAGCTCAAAAATTTATAACACATAAAATAAAAACAGAAAAATTTAAACCCCTAAAATAAGAAATATCAGAATTAAAGATTGTAGGTAAAAAACAACAAAATAATAAAAATAACTGTCATAATTTGAGTATTAATTTGATATTTAAAAAATCACTAGGTACCTATAATAAGAACTTGAAAATATAAAAATGCTATAAACCAAAAAGATCAAAGATCAATTTTAATATTCAACATATTCACAGAGTTCATGTAGTTCGCTATTATTATTGTAGCAATTTTATCAGCACCACATATTACTCACGTAGCCATTTGCAACACATACTTCGATAAACCGGCCTGTTAGTTTCTAATAATACAAGCTAAAAGAATAATATTCCGCAGCGAGAATGTTTTGAGATAAATGAAAAAAATAAGTTCAGCATTAACTGAGGTGTCGAATTACACGAACACGTGTATTTACAGAAAAAGTATGAAAGAAAAACATGTGCGGGAAAGTTAAATATACTGTTGGATACAATGTAGTTAGTTGGATAAAACTGTTTTTTTTAAATAAATTTTAATTTTAATGTTACTATATTTTAGTACAATTATGCACTGTACAATATTTTTGTTATTAACATTTTAAAGTTAATATTATACAGTGTGGTCCAAACTCTATTCATAATCATAATTTTTTCGCAGAAAAATTATGATTATTTTCTGTCTAATAACGATTTAGTCAACATATTTATTTTTGTCAATAATGACATGTATTGACTATTTCCATTCTAAATATCTTAAGAACGGTTGCTCGTAGCGATTTTAACCAAGGAACATTTTTTACGTAAAAAATAATGGAAATGAATATTTTTTCACTCAGTAGTTTTATACAGGTACGGACGAAAAGTTATTACTTTTCTAAACAGTTAAAACACATGTAGGTGGCGCTCCCTACAAATAGAAGTCATATTGACATCAAAATCAAGTTTCTCATGTCAAAAAACTCCCACACGCCAATTTATGTCATTGTGTATTTTTTAATGTCAATGATGACAGGTATTGATAATTTCGATTCCAAATATCTCGAGAACCATCACTTGTAGCGATTTTTACCAAGAAACCTTTTTTACGTAAAAAATGTCGTAAATGTATATTTTTCACTCAGTAGTTTTATACAGGTACGGACGAAAAGTTATTACTCTTCAAACCAGTTAAAAAATATGTAGTTGACATCAAAATCAAATTTCTCATGTCAAAAAACTCCCAGAGACCAATTTTCATGCAAATATTGAGGTTACTTGATAAATTATTTAAAAATAATCGAAACAAAAATGAAACTTCTACACCCTGTATCTCCGAAACTAAGCATTTTATGACATATCTACATTTATACGAACGTTTTTACTTTTACTTATTTTTATCAGCAGAGTATGCTACCGAAGTTTAAGAAAGTTTTTCCACTTGTAAAACCAATCCGGAGGCATACTGTATAATTAGTGTTAATTTTTGATAAATTTTATACCAAATTTTAGTAAATTTCGTCTAGAGACTGACCTCGTCAAAATTATCATCGATTGCCATTTCTCAGTCGTTCTTGACGCCGCTTTTTTCATCATACGGTATATCTAATGCTAATGCTTGTTTCGGCTTTATGTTAGAAGCTTCATTAATATTATAAAAACATATTGACAGCATATTTTGCAACAGAAATTAGTTTATTTACAATTAAAAGCTACTTATGAAATAATTTTGTAATTGCTGTACAATTAATGTTATATCATTTACATTACAATACAATGAATTGACTTTTATTATTTTTTGTAAACATAATATATTAATATTTTATATCAATATGAATATCTTCATACATTTTAATATTCAGGGTTGTTCACCACATACGACACGGAGTATTGTAGCTAAACGATTAGATTTTTACAAATCGTAAGTTTTGGGTTCGTTGAAGGACTATTAGAGCTACAATTTAAAAATATTTTTACAAGATACAGAGTGTCCCAAATTAATAAAAAATATCAAAGTTGTATTTTTATTTATTACACTTAAACCTTACCGTTTTTGAAATATTTTCAATTTTGTGAAATTGCAGTCAAAATTTTAAGGCTTCATTTCTCCAAGGGTATCAAAGTTTTTAATACTAAATAGTTACTGAAGTTTATTTATTGATCAGTTATTGTGTTGCAATAATAAAAGTTATACTACCTTATATAGAGTGTCTAAAATTTTATTTTAAATAATTACTAGCTTTAAACGGCAATAACTTGTTTAATTTAAATGGAACACCTTGTATATTTTATGAGAATCAGATACACAATTTAATTGTATATCAAATTGTATTATACCATTTTTTACCTATAGCTTCAAGTTTCCGCAGAAAATGCATTTTCTTGTAATTTTAAATTCATTTATCAATATACCCATGAAATACTGACATTTTAGATTATTTTTAAAGATGTACCAAATTTTTAAAGAGTACAGATATTAATATTGTCGATATAGTTTGTTTATTTCTTTAAAAAATAAAAAAAAACTGTTTAAATATTTGTTAAAGAGGACCAATTAATATGATTCCAGTATTCAAACTACATTAATTGACTGTTTGCGTTGATTAATCATAATTGCTCCAAAAACTAAAAACTAAATTTTTTATGTGTATTAGACAGTGTGGTAAAAAGTAACACCTTAAAAATGATATTTCATTTTTTGACAAATGCTTATTTGTAACAACAGAGACATTCATTTTTATAACTTATTATTATATTGATTTCTGATTCAAATCCACATTTATTTAGAATAATTTATTCACGAACATAATTAAGTATGTAATTAATTAGTATTTGGGCGGAAATAATGGTGGTATATTTAATTAATGGTATACTCTTTTATGAAGATTTAAATAGTTTTCTTTTTGCATACAAATGGGCTAGTAATATTATCATTTTGTTAAAAAAGATAATATTACTAGCCTGTACATTTTGTACATTTGTTGCTTTAAAAACAATCTAAAATGTCAATATTCCATGGGTATATTGATAAATCAGGTCAAAATTATAAGAAAATGCATTTTCTGCGAAAACTTGAAGGGATAGGTAAAAAGTGGTGTCATACAATTTGATAGACAATTAAATTATGCATCTGATTCTCCTAAAATATACAGGGCGTTCCATTTAAATTAAACAAGTTATTTCCGTTTAAAGCTAGTAATTATTTAAAATAAAATTTTAGACACTCTGTATAAGGCAGTATAATTTTTATTATTGCAACACAATAACTGATCAATAAATAAACTTCAGTAAATATTTAGTATTAAAAACTTTGATACCCTTGGAGAAATGAAGCCTTAAAATTTTGACT